TGTTTTGAGACCTCATCTCCTGCTGCTCAGGGCAAGGACTATAACAGCACGGTTCTTTCTCACCACTTGGGTAAAGCTCGAGAAGATTTTGGGGAAGTGCGGCGCACATAGGTTACAGGTGACCAGCACAGAGCTGGGGTGAGCAGCAGCTTCTGAGTTGCTTGTGGGGAGGCTTTGAGTTGTCTTGACAAACATAATACCAGGCATTGCTTGTGCTTTATGGAAAGAAGTATTACAGAACACTCATCTGAAATATATACCTTGAATTCGGCATCACAGCATGCTTTTCAAGTCACCAGAACCACAAGAATCTGTTTGAAACTGATTTAATTTGCTTAAATTTACCTTTCTAGCCAAATGCCTGCAGCCATGAACTCTTGCCTTAGAGAAGAAACTTTGTTATTATGTTGGATTGTGTTGACACCAGAAACTATTAGGCCTTCCTTCGAAATTATTTCTTTTGTGTCCAGAAAGTGTTTACATTGAAGTGAACTGTGGTTTTCCAGTGCTTATGGGTGATAAATCTACAAATAGAAAAAGAGCAAAAGCTGTTATTAACAGACTAAAGCCAGCAGGGTAGAGAAACTGGTGCTTTCCTCAAGCAAGTTCCTCAGGCATGTCATGAATTAATTGTCAAAGGTTGAACAAAGCAGATTTAATTATGAGTACTTTTCTGAGCAGGGGTGTTGCAATTAGTTATTTTTGAGAGCTATCTTTATGGGGGAATTTAAATACTATGTATATCAAGTTCCCAGCTGCCATTCAAAGTGATAATTTATTGTTCTCTGAGTCAGTTCTTACTATGTGGTTTGAAGATCAAACAGCATAGTTTTTCCTGAGGTATGTTTCAACCATATAGAAAAAGATGGTCTTTTGTACTAATTTTTATAAAGACAGTTTCCTGTTAGAGAGCTGACACACAGCTAGTTCAGTTAGGTATCCTATTTGATAACAGGCAAGCAAATATATTTAAAGATTGTCAGTGAAAATGTTTGACAGTGACAGTTTATGTATTTATGTAAGATCCCAACAGGATTTCATCAAAAATTAAAACTATGTGCACATTACCACTTCACAGTCCCTTCTTTTTTGTTACTGAGAGATTTCTGTTGGTCCAAAACCTTTAAAAACAAGCCCCAGAACGAAACTATAACCCCTTGACAGTGCTGGACACAGTGTACGTACGGGATACATACCTACTTTACATTTCACAGGGTTTTTTTACAAGATGAAGATCCAAATGGTATGTCCAAGTTTTTTGTCTTGAGAATAAGAAAATACTGTAGAAGCTCTACTGTGAACCACTGTTTGGGACTCTATTATCATTTATTGCTCTACATCATGCTTCATTTCCCAGCACCAACTGGCCTTTGTTTCTGCTCCCTGCCCTGTTCCTACACATTTGTGCAGCTCCGTGCTCTGATCTTGCCGAGTCTCCGGTTGAGACTTGTCACTTCTCTGAAGGTGCCTGCTGCTAAGTAGCTGCGTCCTTCAATCTGCCAGGGTGGGAGAGCCTTTTTGTGTCCCCTCCTCTCAAATTAACTTTATTTCAGTTCTCTTGCAGTTCCTAAAGCTTTCAGGTTTCTGTATGAAATGTCCCGTTTCTCGTTCCAGGCAGCTATTATATTTTGTGAGTTGTTTTTCTTACTTCGGGGGTTTCTTTTTTATTTTTCTCCTACAAAACAGCTTAATTTTTTACTTTCGTTACAAACTATGGACTTCCTTTTATAACTCTGTGAAGAAATAGCTATCTATGCATGGTGATTTCTCCATAGAGAAAGTGGAGGCTATAAATATGCAAATACCACTTTTGGCTTTACAGAGTTTAATTGCTTTGTATATTATGCAGATTCCTAGGCTGAAAAAATCTGACGAGAACAAGTAACACATTTGTATATTTGCGATCTTAAAAATGCAGGCAGTTTGATGAAAAGTGCGCTGGTTTTTGATTCTGCAGGTTTACATCTTGTGGGTGGTATTATGGGGTGTGTAGGGTGCTTGCATTGACTGAGGCTCTTTGCAGAGCCTGTGAAAAGCAATTGGAGCAGCTGCTGCTGACATCCTTCTATATGCCGAGATCACAGGAAGCGGAGCTGGAAGGGATCTCAGGAGATCATCTGGTATATCGCTACCTTAAAGCAGCATCAGCTAGTTCTGAACATTTCCAAACAGTCAAAGGTTTTTGAGCTTGAGGCAAGAAATCAAGAAGTTCTCATGTTTGATATTTGCAATGATTTTTCTTTTATTGGGTAAAGTATATAAACCAGAGGTATAATCTAGGCTATTACACTGTGACACCTGAAAATTATTTTTTTTTTAAATGCATGTGCTTACAGTATCTGTAAAAGGTCCTGAAGTCAGCAGTCATGTGCTGTGTTAGAGATATAAAGGAAGCACTGAAATGCCTCACAAAGTTGGAAAGCATTTCAGTATAATACTTTGAAGCATCCTCTGTGCTCTGTTAGGTTTTGTAGTGACATTAGAAGAAGGGCTAACCTCTGAAGACCCTGTTGGAAGTGCAGGCTGCTACGTTTTAGCTGTCTTGGAGAGAGAGAGATTTAGATATTAATAACTAGGAGTCTTCCAGTGTCCTAGTTTTAAGGATCACCATATTCAGAGATGGATTGCTTTGATCTGGCCATTTGCCTTGAAGTTTCTCTTAGCTGGAGGCAAATCAGAGAAAAAGAAAGCAGAAGTATTGATTTGCAAAATTTAAAGTAGACAACATTGATGCAGAATTTCACAAAGAAAGGTGGAAAGAAAGGAAATTCAAATTGTTCATATATCCCTTAGAATAGTTCAAAGTCTCTCTTTTTAAGATCCAACTCGCAGGCTGTAGAAATATTCAGAATCCTGTGGCTGAGGACCTATTTCTGTGTGGATCCAACCTGCTTTGGTATAAGTGCTGAAAGAGGATCTAGTTTTGGGAACTCTGGTGTTTTTGAGTTGTGAAGATTTGGGAATTTTGGTATTTCCTTTTACATCACAAACTTCTTTAGAGATTGTTCATATGCATTGATTATATGATGGGAAACCACATTATTTACGCTTGAGCCCAGAAGTGCTTTGGAGTATTGATGACTTTGTTTCCCTGCTGCCCTGCATTTTCGGCAGTGACTAGCAGGAGCATCAGACACTGCTTCTTATCAGGACAGTCAGTAGGCAGATGAGGTGGGAGGTGTGGGACTGAATCCTTGTAGACCAAGGCAGGACCCTGATCGAGTCCTTGAAGCACTGAACTGTTTGACAGCAGCACTCCTGTTCCTTCCATCCCTCCCTCTCTGGCAGCACTTGAAAAGAGCAAACTCTGCTTGGGTTTCTTTTTTCAGGAGAGGGTGTCAGACCCCTTGATGGGGCTGAGAGATCTTCTCATGAACGGTGTAGCCTTCTGCCGAGTGTGTTCACATTGGCCTTGTAGGCAGTTTCTGACTGAGCATGCAGGCTTTGCTCCCTTGCCCTACGGTCCTGACACCGGGGTCTCACCACTTGCAAGCTAAGCAATGACAAACAGCAGCGTGGGACTGGGAGAACCTTGAATCATCAACTTTACTCATCTGCAGTCATAAACTGATTTATAATTAAGTCTGGAAGGATCAACAAGAATATTCACTTCCTGCCGTGTCCTTTTTGTACCTCTAAGTCCCAAATCCCCACTAACTTAATTCCTTTCTTTTCCTTGGCTCTATAACTAGTTGAAGATTTTTAGAACAAAAAGAGCAAAGAGTTACACTTCTGAAGTTTCCTGGAAGGAGGAAGAGAGATGCTCAGATTGAATTAGGAGCACTCTGAAGATCAATCATAGACTCATAGTTATCAGGTTGGAAGGGACCTCAAGGATGGTCTAGCCTTTCACGGCTAAAGCACAGTCCAGATGCACCCTGTCCAGCTGAATCTTATAAGTGTCCGGTGTTGGGGAATCCACCACTACCATGGGGAGCTGTTTCCAATGGCTGATTGTTCTCAGTGTGAAAAATTTTCCTCTTGTGTCCAATTGTAATCTCCCCAGGAGTAACTTGTACCCATTACCCCTTGTCTTTTTCCATGTGACTCCTTTTAAACAGGAATCTTCATCTTTATAGCCACCCTTTAAACACTGGAACATGGTGGTAAGGTGTCCCATAAGCCTCCTTTTCTCAGGGCTGACCAAAGCCAGTTCTCTGAGCCTTTCCTCATATGGCAGGCTTCCCAGTTCTTTGATCATCTTTGTGACCCTTCTCTGGACCCCCTCCAGCCTGTCTACATCTCTTTTACATAGCAAGGACCAAAACTGAACACATTATTCCAGCTGTGGCCTGACAAGCACCGAGTAGAGTGGAATAATGGCTTCTTTGTCTCTGCTGGTGATGCCCTTGTTGATCCAACCCAGCATCGCGTGGCCTTTCTTTGCTGCAGCAGCATATTGTATATTGAGCTTGTTGTCTACAGGACCCCCAGGTCCCTTTCCACAGAGCTGCTCCTCAGCTGGGTAGATCCCAGCCTGTGCTGCACTCCTGGATTATGTTTTCCTAGGTGCAAGATCTTACATTTGTCCTTGTTGAGCTTCGTAAGATTCTTGTTAGCCCACTCTTCCAGTTGCAGTGGCATAAGCAGAATCCAGAAGAATTCATAAAATGGAAGGGAGTTTGTGTAGACCCAGCTCCACTGCAAACATTGTGGTGTCTAAAGCTCTTTCTGCATCTAACTCTTAGTTCCTTGGGAATTTATAACAGAAGCTTAGGTATATATAAATATAATATATAAATGCCTTTTTTAATCTCATTTAGTTTTCCTGTGTGCAGACTCTTTGTATACATTAACAAGCTATTTAATACACTAGTACTTCAACATTTAAAATTTCAACATTACTTTTTCAAATTTTAAAAATATTATTTTAAAATAATAATGTTTAAAAATTTTAAAATGATAAAATGTTTGCGATGGGTTTTCTCTCTTTGTATTAATAAGTAGCTTATCATGTTCTTCTAATCTGTCAAAACATAACAAACTTTTCTATCCATTAGGTGTTGCGAGTGTACAAAGCAGCTGTGCAACAGACATTGGATATACTCTTTCTCCCTGAAGAAAGAGAATTTCTTACAAGCACCGATGCAGTAAGCCGTGACTCAGCTGATCGTACCATTATTGCATGGGACTTCCAAAGCGCTGCGAAAATCTCCAATCAGATTTTTCATGTAAGATTAACAACTACTATTGTTTGGGTCATGATTTAGGATTTCATGCTTGTCAGTGTCGTTCAAAAAAAAAAGCTTTTGGTTTTCTGCCGGATGATTGCAGATGTATAAAATGCTCTTAATGTAGGTGGTGTTAAGTGTTTTAAAAACACTTGATTATTCTTAAAAAATGAACTTGAAGACTGATAGGTCTCCTTGTATTAAAAATATTTACATTTCAGTGCTCATTCGCTGACACCTAAGCTATATTTAGGCAAGGCCACTGCAGTGTCATTCTAGCTTGCCAGCAGTGCATGGCAGTAGTTGCCATAGTGCCACGTTTCTTTTCTCACACTTTTTCATACATTTCTCATCAGCTGCAGTGAGGGCTATTGACAAATTGAGTTTAATATTCGAATAATTATAGCAACCTGCTACATGCATATAGATATCTAGTGTGGCATAATCGCAGAGCCAAAATTTACTTTTATCAGTGCAGGTGCAGTGTTTTTCTTGGTAATCTATCCAGGCAAGATACTGAATGGACTAAATTGTCTAGAAAGGGTGACAGCCTCAGAGGAGGTTACCAAGGAAGTTAATAGATAATTCCAGCTCCCTGGGTCTTTTTTGAAAAACCAAGTCTAATATCCTATGTAATATAATATGATTGATTTGTATATGGATGCTTTTTGGATAAAATGAACACTTCTCTACTGACAAGGGCATACAGTTGATGATCTAATGGGATTATTTCACATTTAATTTCCACAGTGATGTCTTTGTCCAATATTGGATCTGTCAACATCTTGTATAGGCAACAGAAAAAAAAGCTGTGTATATATAAGGTACAGAACAGTCAGGTTCAGCATCAAGGATTCAAAACCAACCAAACAACTTTTTCTCATTATCCTCCACCAAACAAGCAAACAAAAAAATCCCCACCAGCCTATCTTCTCACAACTACAGCATCTCTGATATGGACTGGTTTCCCCCTTTTCTGCACTTTGAGTAAACAAAACTTTGGTGGTGATTTTGAAAACTCTGCTTCACTTCTTTGAATTTCACCTTTGAACCCTTCAAGGTGGAAGAGAACCCCTGGGCTCACCAAACAGATGAGATCTCAACAGGACTTGATCTGTTGCTTCTCTGCATTGACAAATTAGTAGTTAAAAGCTCTAAAATAACCCACTGCCACATTATACCCAACACAACAGCACGGTGCTCCTGCAGATTGCATTGTGCTTTCTGATCTCGTATTGTTAAACCCAGTTTCTCCCTGGAAGCATGCAGTGCTCTGCCGTGGAGCACACTCCTGCCCAGCGACACCTCCTAACCCTGTTTTGGTTCTGTGCCCAATACCTTACAATATCCAGAAATTCCTTCCCAATTCTTCACTTCCAAACCACACACCACCACCAGTCTGATGTTCTTCCTACTCTACCACATAGCCCGTGGTGTCCAGTGATCGCTGTCAGCCTGGAGTCCGTCACATGCAGACGCATCCTACAGCCAAAGCTCTCTTAATCTGTATTTATGGCATCAAAACCCAGCGCTGTGTCTGTAGGTTAGGCTGAAAGTAGCAGAGGTTTGGACCTGGTGGAAACCTTGTGAGAGCGGTTGATTTCTGATGCAGTCACCAGTGCAGAGTTTTGAAAGTACTTAATTCAGTCTTAAATACAAACACTAAAGCCAAGCAGTATGAATTTTTGAAGATATTTATGAATTTACAGCCAGCAGCAGACTACGTGGCAAATCACTGTCATAAGGAACTTCTGACTTGATACACCAATAGTGATCTGTTTTTTCTTTTTTTATTTTTTATAAGAGTGGGGTGGGGAAAGACATCAGTTTAAATGGGGTGATTTCTGTTCCTGTCAGTGTGGCCAGAACTGAGAGGATGGGGATTTTAGAACTGTACAATGTAGCATGGAAGGTACAATATGGCTGTGGAGGAAGGGACGTTCGAGAAGAGGATTCACTTTCACTTTCAAACTTAAGTTCTCCTTGGGCAGAAAGAGGATCATTGAGTATCATCGCGTTGGAGTTGCTGTTCTGCAGAATAATTATGGTTCAGAGGCAGATGGGATTTTGTTCAGTATCTAGGAAAGCAGGGTAGAGATTTGATTTAATATTTGTATTAGTGTAAGACTTTTTCAGATTGTAGTGAGTTAAGTATCTTTATATAATGTATGCTATAGAAATGACTGACGTACAGCTTGCCTTTTTTGGTCTTTCAAATATGTCAAAGGAAAACCTGAATCATTTGAACAAATATTTTGTTTCATACAACACAACTAACTTTATTATTTTCAGGAGCGTTACACTTGCCCAAGCCTGACTCTACACCCGAAAGAGCCTATGTTTGTTGCTCAGACGAATGGGAACTACATGGCTTTGTTTTCTGCCCAGCGACCTTATCGAATCAACAAAAAGAAAAGATATGAAGGACATAAGGTATCCTACTTCACAAGGAACTTAGTATCCAAGTCTAGAAGGGAAACAGATAGCAAACTACCTGTGCTTTTTAATGTGTCTGCTAATAGTGTTTGATATATAATCAGTGATATATTAATTGGCTTCATTTGCTTTCCTGTGTGCAAGTCTATTTTGAATCGTACTCACTCTGATAGTTATTAGAAGACTTTATGAATACTTAATAGCTTGATTAAATAACTTTGTGTTATAGCTGTGTTTTAATAAACACCTGGAGAAATCTTCAGTGTATGTTTATTTAAAGATACTTTTTTTTCATACTGTGTTCATTTTCAGTATATGACAATGAACTTTTCTAATCAGCATCAGGAGTTACACTGGTTTTGATTTTCACAGGTGGAAGGATTTGCAGTGGGCTGTGAATTTTCTCCAGATGGAACACTTCTGGTGACAGGAAGTTCAGATGGCAAAGTGTTTTTCTACAACTATCATACTGCTAGGATTATTCGCACTTTGTCTGCACATAAAGAAGCTTGTGTGAGTGCAATATTTCACCCAGTCTTGCCGTCGCTCCTTGCAACATGCGATTGGGCTGGAGAAATCAAGATCTGGCAATAACAAGCAGAGTTACTTTTCTGGATGTCTCCTGTTAGTCTGTCAAAGGCAGAGGAAATAAACCATGATATGCAATGCGAAATTTTGATGTGTTGTGTTGTAAGCAGGAGAGACTGTTGTCTTTTCTTCTGTGACCTCGAAGTGCATGCTTTCCTAGTGCAGGTAAAATGGTCTTGGGGTTAGCTGCTGAGCGAAGAAATGGTCTTACTCTGTCACTCTGCCTGGGTGACAAATTTCTGCCCCTTTTGTGTCAATCTTCTGGTGCTCATCTAGCCCCACCATGGTTTGAGTAGCTAAATTTAAGAAAATTATTGCTCTTTTTATGTAGCTTTTCAATACAGCATTCTTAAAACAGGTTTGATCATAGATTCAGTTAGGTTGGAAAAGACCTTAAGGTCATCAAGTCCAACTGTTAACCTAGTGCTACAAAGTTTACCGCTAAGCCATGTCCTTAAGCACCGCACCTGTACATCTTTTTAATCCCTCCAGTGACAGTGACTCAACCACCTCCCTGGGCAGCCCGTTCCAATGCCTGACAACCCTCTTGGTGAAGAAATTTTTTCCTAATATCCAATCAAAACCTCCCCTGGTGCAACTTGAGGCTGTTTCCTCTTGTCCTCACCAAAAGTTGGTGAGGGCATATTATTTAATGGAGAATGACGTTCAGATCAATTAATATCTATTTGATCTTTCAGACATTTTTTTTCCCCACTGGTTTAAACTAGTTTTCCCTAGTTTAGCTCTTTGACCTGGTCACTGAAGGGTTAGACAAGCAATAGCGTAGTTCAAGGGAAAACAGCTTCTGTGCACAAGAACGGGGATGATCGCAGGGCAGGTGGGACTGCTTTTTTGACAAAATGGGTAGCTGTTACCAGCTCATCGTACTGTAAAATGCCTTCTGAGATTTCCAGGGAAAGGTGTGCCAGGTAACTTGAAGCTAATTTTGAATTCAATATATTTGTGTTCTTGAAATCCCAATGTTTAAACTTGAGTTTTAAACTTGCATAAAGAAAACCAAGCTATACGTAAATATTTTTCATGAAAAAATAAACATTTTTTTAATACATGGTGTCTGTATTTCATTATTATACTCTTGACAAGTTAGTACTCAAGATTATCATGGAATTGATAGTTGAGGGGGGGAAACAATTCATATGCTGCCCTAATATATTGCAAACACACATGCATTTCTGCATACTTCTTGATGTCACCTAGACACAGAAAATTGTCATCACGCTATTCAGTGCAGGGGTTGTTCTTTGACATTCAGACAAGAGCTGGGCTTTTCTGCAGTGAATAAAAAATTCATTAGGCCATAACTGTGTATTTATGTATGCATAGATTGCTTGTAAATGTATTTTAAATCTGCACTCTCTGCACTTTTATTGCTTGGTTCTGGAAGTTGTTGTCCATTTTCTACCTCTCTGTGTGTGCATACATATACATAACACTGAAAATATTATGTCCATCACATGAACTATATGTATTCCCAACTGTGCCTCCGTATGACTGTGTGCTGCCATGCAGTCAGTGCTATGAGCTTGGCTTGTGTTTGGTTTCTGCTTAGTCTTTAAAGGTATTTTAACATACACAGGGTAATTGAGTAAATTGTCATGGAATCCAGAAGTCATGTATAATAGCAGCTTTTCCTCTGTAGCAGCTCATTATTGTTTTGATTTTTTTCTTACTGGCACAAATGCGAGTGGCTTTTTATCCATTTTTCACAAGGTCAGCTTTTTCAGAGAAAAATTTTCAGAACACTCTTGCAAATGGCAGATTTTAATTAAGTAATGAAGAAAATGTACTCCATTGGCTGGTAGTTTGTGTTCCTTACAGCTTGTAGTAAGCCCGTACCAAGACTGTGGATCCACAGTTATATTGTTTGAAGTCTGGATCGAGATATCGTGGCTGTGTGGTTTTAATCAACTTATCAACAGTTATGATGGGTTTTAACACAGGACATTAAATTTTAGTGAACCATGCAACATGATGCAATTAACATTTCCCCCCCCCCCCCTCAGACTGTTCTTAATTTCTTGCTTCCTTGTTCCTCAATTAGCTGTTCGACAGGAGCCTGAATTTTGCACTTCTCTTGACTGTGCCTCTAGCACACAAGCCAGCTGGACCCTTTAAATTTCAATTGGTTCAGTGACTTGACGAGTTACTCCTAATTCAAGCTGTGGGATCTTTATAAATGTCAGAGGGAGTTCAGCTGAAGGTGAAGGAGTAGTAGTTGCTTATCATGGGGCAGGCTTAACTATGACTGCACGGTGTTTTTCACGACGGTGGCTCTATGTCCTTCTCTCCAGGTATTGTAGATCAAAATGTGCTATTGCCGCTCTAAAACGTGTGGCGGTGGGTTGTGTCTGTGTGAAGGATGGGCAGCACCAACGTTGGGCAATGCGTCCTGTTATCCCCACAAGAGATTATTTGCCTGTTACTGTTTTAAATAGAGTGTTGAGAAAGGCCTCTGAAGTAAACGTGAGCTCGCGGTAGAAATGTCTGATTGGGTGAGGCCCCAGCTTACGTGAGGACTGAGAACGCCTCTGGATAGAGTGAAAGATCCGAGAGAGCAGTCTTTGGGAACCATTGCACATACTGCGAGGAAAAGTAACTGCGTTTTGTAATTTTACCCATGTTATTGCTGAAGTTTAACTTATGTCCTGAGGCATGATTCTGATATCTGATATCATGATTTTGGTATTTACCCCTCCTGAAATTATCCTGCAAGTGTAAATTTTAGACTATTTATAGGGGTGAAGGGAAGATATTAAATGTCATTAAAGGTAGTAGGGAAAAAAATAAACTTGAAACTATATAATCTTAAAGAATATTAAAATTAGAATTGCATGTGTGTCAGATTTCCAAGATGGCTGGAGTTTTAATTACTTATGAGATCCAGCCAAAGGTTTTGTTATGCAAGGAAATTATGTTCACAGCATTATCTTGTTAAAATCCCTTTCTAATATAAAACTGATTAAGACACAGACTGAAATTTAATCACTGAAAATATTTTAGAATAGTGGTGTCAATTAAGTTTTTTACGATTTGAAGACAAATTCTTCCTTGTAATCTTATGTAATGAACTGTAATCAAAAACTATCCATATTGCTCCATCGTTATGCAATTACCAAATACTGTTTGGGCTGCAAACAAGAATTATTATGGTCACATGAAGCTTTTAGAATGTAATGAATTGTTGGTTAATTAATTTTATTTGTAAAATTGTAATCTGGAAATGTTTGAATCTTGCTGTAGAAGCAGTTCTTCTAGCTTTATACAGAACTCTCCATGGCATCCTGTATTAGAGCCAAGGCAGAGATCTTCACCATTTTTAAATGGTCTAGGCTGTGTAGATAAACAAGCCGGATTCATTCTAATCTATTTTGTACAGTACCAAAAAGTAATCATGCCAGTGTCTACCACCTCATTATTTGCTACTGTAGCGTTATTAATTTGGGGTGTCAGAGAATGCAAGCTATTCAACTGTCTTTATCTCAAAAACCTGCTAATTAGCAGACAGTTATTAGAATTACTGTATTCACTCAGCTGAAATACTGTTGGTGAGTCACTCTATATTTCAGCTATAGGCCTAATCATGAAAATAAGGTATGGCATTACAAGGAGATGACTCTTTCCATAGGGGACAGGCAAATTTAAAGCTACAAGACTATGGCAGAACAGAACAAACCAGGAAGATCAGAAAATTGTGGGATCTCAGATTTCCCATTATCCTGATATAATGCAGTTTGGACTGAACTGAAAATATTTGGTCTGATTTCTTCAGCTAATCTTGATCTTTTTCTCTTAATCCCAGCTCCTCCTGGCCACTGCTCTCATCCTCACCCTTTAATTTTACAGTTTTTCTGTCCTTGTTTCAGCACCTTGACTTTTGCATTTAAGGGCATCGTAGTCTATATGCTTACCCTACATTTGTCTTCTCTTCAGTAAGTTTCATTTTCCTGTGCACTGACTTGGGGCTTTCAGGCTTTCATTCCAGCTGTCGTTAGAAAGGTAGCCAGAAATCCCAGAGTACTTGGCATTCCATTCTTCCCTTTCTGTTTTCTGGATTTAATGAGGCTTATAACTTTTGGAGATTGTCCCCTCTTTCTTAGCCTCTCCTCTGTCTGCTTTTCTTTCTACCTTTAATTACTGCTTCACTGTCTTGCAGATCCTTTCTTTATAGCTGCTCCTGCAAGGTGTACCTACATCAATGTTTTAGTTTGGCAAGAGTGCACTTTTTGGGAAAAATAATAACAACAACAAAAATCTCCCAGTTATTGCCCCTTAACAATGCTTTGGTTCACAGAGCACAGAAACTGCACTTCTTTCAAATGGACCTAAATGAGGAGATGTGCGCCAAGACCATATTTAACATGTCCCAACTGATGGGACTAGAGTGGAGATAGCTCACGGTACCCCTTACCCCTCCCTCCGACCCCCAAAGCATGTGGTTAGACGCTGCATATTCAGAAATCGGACAAACTCTACAGATTTACTCTTCTTGGGTCTTACTACTTGCTAACGTAAACGTAGGCCCAGGGGTTTCAAAGAGTCTCTGGCACTTTCCCCTCTCTTTGATAAATCTCTCACCTCTCTCTTCATGACTCACAGCTCTGTGCAGTGCTCATACGTCTGATGTTTTCACACTTCAAAGGGTAGAAATGCTGGAGATTAAATTCATTTATGGAGGGAAAAGAAAGCAATTTTAGAAGTATTTGATCTCCAGTGGTAGTAGGACAAGCTGACCCTGTCCAGAGCCTGATGAATTCTGCCACGTGTGCAGAACAACTCCGAGTTGGGACACAACAGCTCTGTCTATAGTGGGAATAGTAGGGCTCCCTTCACTGGCCTTAGGTGGAGGTTTAGAGGGATCAAGCTGCTTCACTTCCCTTTCCCAGTCCCTGGATATCCTACAACATAAGCTTATTTAGAAGGCTACTGGAAAAGACTTAGGTACTGCACAAAATTTATAAAGCTTCATCCAAGTGTAATTCTCACTA